TTAGAAAATTAGATTTAGAACTTTGTTTTAAAAAGGATGATAGTTTAGAAAAAGAAAATTGCTAATGTAATTTAGTTAAAAAATTTTTTATTTTGAAACTGTTTTGTGATAGTTTTTTAGGCTAGCTTGGTATAGCCTTCTAGTACAAACAATAGCTTTAACTGGTAAGGCAAACCGCACTTGGTCACCCTAGAAGTAGCTGAGTGATATCAGATCTGTAACTTAGATAGTTTGAGTATACCTTGTATATATGCTTTGATCTAATAAAAATACTGATAAAGCTGCCAATACTTTCGAAAAAAAAAAAAATATATATATTAACTAATTGCACTATTACGTAGCTTTGCGATTTTATATACCCGTACTCTTTACATATTTGGTACGTATGTATGTTTCCTCGCAGGCTCCAAATCGTTGATAAAAAATTTAATTGATATAGAATAAATTTTAAGTATAGTTTGTTTATTGTTTACTCAATTAGAGGATGATATGATTGTACCTGAAATTTTAAATAAAAAGTATAATTAAAATAAAATTCTTGCTCTCTCTTGGCATAGTAGTTATATAAAATTTTTGCAAAAGTAAAAAGAGTAAGCCGATATTTTGATTTTTTTTTCGTCATAGCCTAGTTTAATAAAAAGCAAAGTAAATAAAATCTTAAACAAGTAAAAAGTAGAATTGTTAGATATACTATTTTAAAATTTTAAACAAGTGCTAAAATATTACTTATCTAAACAAGCAGATATTAAGTTACTACAGGTTCTATATTAGTTACAACTTTTTTTAACTTCTACACCAACTTGATTATCAAATTTTTTTGTTTACTTTATTTATGTTTTTAAACATAATTTTCTAGTGAAAAAAAAATAGAGGTATTGTATTATATTTAAAACTGTTAGTCATTTTTGTTATCGTAATTTGTAAATTACCATGCATCTTTTATAACTAAAAGCCAACAAATATTATGCTTTTGCCTAATACAACAGTATCCACAGTTACTTTATCTATGTTTCAAAGCAAATATTCTACTTTTGTGCCATGTCCATGTTAGCAATCTACAAGTTTTATAAGATCTAATACTAAAATTTACTGTATTAATGATAAGTCTGATGAAAATTTATATAATGAGTTTGATGAATAGTCAAATGACAGATTTGAAGAACAAGTAAAACTTTGTAAAGATATATCAAATACAAGCACTTGTAATTTTATCATTAAGAGTCAAATAAAAATAGACTTTAAAATCTTCATGTTTTGCAGAACAATCTTTTCAAGTCAAAGATTTTATTTTTTCAACCACATTCATATCATCAATTTACAAGTTTTACAAGTCCTAATATTAAAATTAACTGTATTAATTTTGAGTCTGACAAACATTTAGATAATGAGTTTAACGATCAATCAGATTATAGATTTGAAGAACAGATAGAACTTTATAAAGATATATCAAATATAAGCCTTTATAATTTTGTTCTTAAAAGTCAAATAAAGATAGATTTTAAAACCTTTATTTTTGATAGAGCAACTAGTTAATACTATTGATGAAGCATATGCTGCAGTTGAGGCTTTCACATATTCAAATAGATTTGAAATTAGAAAGGGTCGAGTTAAAAAAGACAAATAATAATCA